CCCACTCGTCAAGGAAGCTCTTGAACTTCACGTCCATGTCTGCGCCACAGGATCAAATCAGAACACGCAAAACTTAACCATCACACAAACAGCTTCATCTCCTCGCATAGACAACGGCGCAAAATCGAACTTTGCAGACTCTTAATTCCGACTCAAGTGCGATCGCAATCGAGAGTATCTCAGCCCGAAATCGAGCGGACTCTGACCTAGGTTCATGGCGTTGAGGGCTTTGGGTCGGTCGAGAGTGACGACGGCGACGCCGTTGGAGTGGACGGAGCACTTCACGAGCTCGTCGCTGGCGGACGCCATGATCGCGAAGCTCCTGCTCCGACGAGGGACGATGGCCTCCGGGAGAGCGAACCTGAAGGGATTGCCGAGGCCGTGAATGCGATTGATCGGAGAGTTGCTGAGCAATCGAGAAGCTCCGATCAAGCTTATCATGCTGGCTCGAGTGAACTCGATGGTGATTTTATGTCATCGCCGCCACCGTCGTCGTCCACGTCCGGCGGAAGCACGGAGCGTCGTCGACAAGGTAAGAGAGAGAGAGAGAGAAATTCATGTGGCTGGACGAAATTGCCCTTGAGGTGTGGTCTTGACTTCTCCGAAACTACGCGAAACGAGGGAGCGGGATCGAGGGGCAATGAAGAGAAATCGACCGTCGTTTAATGAAATAATTGAAATTGATATTAAACAAATCTTTCGGATCGGGCTATTTCCACTCCCTTAGGGTGCGAATGGTAAGTTTGATAAAACTCTGCGAATGATTTGATCTGAAATTGATTTATTGGCAAATTGATTTTAGAATCATTTGATTTGTTGATTTTTTGCCCTAAAAAATTTAAACACTCAAAGTGTGGCCCTGTATTATAAGACTTAAAGTTTTGAAATTTTGATTTTAAATTTTTTACCTAAAAATATTTAAATTTATAGCTTTTGTGAAATTTTTTATTTTTTATTTTTTTATTTTTTGGACCTCAAAAATTTAAATTTTCTAAAGTGGTGTAGATATTTAAGCCATTCGGAAGTTTTGAAATTTTTATTTTTTGGGCATCAAAAATTTAAATTTATCAAGTGTTGCGGTATTTTAAGCATTTGTGAAGCTTTGAAAATTTTATTTTTTTATTATTTTTTTTTTTTGGCACTCAAAAATTTAAATTTCATCAAAGTAGGTGGCACATGTATTTTAAGCCATTTGTGAAGTTTTGAAATTTTGATATTTTCAATCGACTTTTTTAGAAAATTTTTATGAATTTTTCTAGAATTTTCAATTTTATGCACGAAAAAAATGTGAGAAAATAGGAGAATGCGTTAATCGAAGCTTCTTTCCAAAATTAAAAAATTGGATTATTTTTAACAAAGCTTTTTATTCATAATCAAATTCCAGAAGCACGGAAATTTTTAACGACGCATACAATAAAAATAAAAATATTTTAAAAAAAAACATTACCCCTTTTTTTTTCCCAAAAAACCCCAAAAAAAAATCCCTTCCTTTCCTTTTTTAATTTATTTTTTTTTTTTTTTTAAAAAAAAAAATTTATTTTTTTTTTTTTTTTTTAAAATAAAAGTAAAACGATCAAAATACACAAACTACATCGTAAATACACATATTAAAGTTATAACTAAACAAAATGCGTACTAAAACTGGTAGATGGTTCTTTTTACTTTTATATGCACTTAGGTTATTTTTATATAACAAAGTTACAAAAAAAGAGAGAATGTACAACTCGTTAACATAATAATTAGTTCTTTTGTCGAAAACATAATAATTAGTTAGTTATCTACCAAATAAACTATTCGGAAAAGAGTGACACCAATTTTGTTCCAAATGGAGAAACAAAAGAAAAACCTAAAAAGAAGAAAGAAGGCAAGAAATAATCTCGAATCAAGAGTGGGCCCCACATTAACCTTAAACAAATGTCGTTTAAGAGGAGCTTGGATAATTTCCTTCTTAAAAAAATTGAAACAACAGAAGAGAAAGAAGAAAATATAAGAAATCAATTTAAATCAAGAGTGAGACTCGCAAAGGATAATGTAATGAATTCAATATGATAAGATGGTATGTGAGCTAATAAGAAGATGGAAATAGCACAGGCCCAAACTTTATTATCAGACGTAACTTAATATCGATTTTAATAAAGAAACGTTTGAATAAACTAAAAACAAGTTAAATCATTTTATTATTTATGAATGAAAATAAAGATTCAATGACACCTTAAATAGGATAAAAGCGATTGCTTCATATGGATTTGGCTCATGAGTGTGGACATGGATTGTTGTTCTAGATGTAATTAGATCATAAGCTAAGTTTGCATTTATGTCAATACATATATTATTGCTGACCAAGAGAAACTACTTTGGATATAACCTTGCCTGATTTTCTTTATATTTTTTTGTTTACTATATGCTTTGGATAAGAATAAACTATTGCATGCTTCTTTCTACGATTTATTCCCTAGTTGAAAGGTACCTAACGGGCCTACGGGAACACATCATTCTAGCCCACAATTTAGAAAACAAGACATTTGGGCCCCTTCCACAGGCCCACTAGCCCATTTAAGGTTATGGTCGCAAATGTCGTTGCCATGGAAAGTTTCAAAGATCCAAGAGCTCTAGATCAAGAATTACCATAATGAAATTTTCGCTTAAAGATATCCCATGAAGCATGGACCCATCGGCCACCACCGCTCTAGCTGCCATCGCTGTCCCTCGTCGCCATTGTCATTGTAACTTGTAAGGGCCTTTCACGCCCCTAACATCTAGAGATTTCCATACATTGCACTATATTTTTGACATAATTCCCGTTCATTAAGCCTACCCAATTAGTGAAGCCCTATCTCTAGCCTAAGTAGAACATTTTCTGTCATAAGTACATAGTAATATCATCACATTTCCCAACCACAGAGTTCTCTTTCAATCACAACATTTTTTACCATGTATGCTAGCAAGGACTAGGAGGGAAGGGCAAGATTCGAAAAGCATAATTGTATTTGGATGGAGGGAAATAGACAAAGGAAAGGATTAGGAGGGATTATCGAGGATTAAGAGAGATTGGTTTGGTCAATTTTATGTACGTGTTATATCCATCCCGATCTCTCAAAATATGGAGGGATTCAGAGGAATTTGGAAGGACCTGTATACCGATAAACATATTTATTCTTCTTTTCTCGCTTATGCCCTTTTTTCAACCTATTCATAAACACATTAAAGAATGATTTTGTCATAATATATTCTTTTATTTTTCTTTTTCCTCACTGGCATCCAAACAACATTAGAACTCAATCCCTTCGAATCCTCTCTCTTCTTTCCCCTCATAGTTATCTAAATCTCTTATTTTCCTTCCAAAGTGAGTGTTAACTACCAAATTCAAGCCACTCTAGTCACTTTTCAACAACAAATATTACCTACCATATGTATCACTCGCCATTTTATCAGCATATTCTGACCTACTAAACTTACTTTCATTTCTTGACCAAAAAAGAAACTTACTTTCATTCCCTATGATCATGAGCCTCTGTCATTTTGAGGCACCAATGCCAAAAAAGAGAGAGAGCAAATTGAAGGGAGAGAAAGAGAGATGCAGAAAGGGAGAGGGATCGTTATCAAGAAAGAAAGAAATTAAGAGAGATTAAGCATGCGATGTGTATTTAAGGGGGAAATTAACAAAAAAGTCCTAAAGTTATTGCATTTGTGCCAATTGAGTATTAAATATCTCAATTTTGTCAATTGAGTCCTAAATCTTTTGACAATTTGCCAATTTAGTTCTTCCGGTCAATTTTGGCTAAAAATTGCTACCATAGACGTTGGCCACCCTACGTGACCTGACCAACAATGACGTGGACAATTTTTTCAATTAAAAAAAATCAAATTTTTAAATATATATTTTATTTTATTTTTTCTTTCTTTTTCTTTTTTCTTCTGCATCTCTCTTTCTCGAGCCTCGTTGGGATCTGTGAGCTTGACATTGCCAAGAGCGGCTAAGCTCGAGCCTCACATGAGGACGATGAGGCTCCACCTTGCCAGAAGCCAACAAGGTCAAGCCTCGCCTGTGGCTAGACATCGACCATTGTCGAGGCCCGATGATTGACGAAGGAAGAAGGAAAAAGCAAAAGAAAGAAATTAAAATAAAAAAAAATTTAATTTTTTTTTCAAATTGTAAATATTGTCCACGTCAATATTGGTCAAGCCACGTAGGATGGCCGGCATCCATGTCAGTAATTTCCCTTCAAAATTGGCCGGAATGACTAAATTGACAAATTGTCAAAAAATTTAAGACTCAATTGGCACAATTGAAAGGTTTATAACTCAATTGGCACAAATTCAATAGATTTATGACTTTTTTTTTGAAATTTTCCCTTTATTTGAGCATACTTTAATGTTGATTGAATATGATGGTCTTAGTTGTGTATAATTTTATGTGATTTGTCGAGAACAGGACTTTCTTAGTGACTTGTGTATGATTTAGAAACGAACTGGACGAGAACTAGTGGACTTGTGTTGACCCTATCCAATTAGGTGAAGAGTGATTCTCGAGGCTAAAAAGAAAGCTTGGACAATGAGCAACTCCAGACAAACATTTAGGATGGTAATGGTTCCAAGAATCTAGTGGTTCTGTCTTCACAATTGGCATATGTCTAGTATTACCCAAGGTGCAGCTGATCGATGTCCGCATTATGCAAAGATGGGCCTTTATGATATCAAGATTTAATGCGTGAATTACTCAAGAACATAGTCACTTCATATCGTGGTACTTATACTTATCAGATTTTGTATACCATGTTGATTGTGCATGTTCATGTTATCACATGACCAATTGTTAGTTGAGGTCGTGGATTGTTTGCTCGGTTTGAGATAATCTTACTCAGTATGAGACGGATCATTAGACCCTAGCGGGCTAAGCGGCCCTCTGGCCCGCCCAAGCACATTCGTGCCACAGGCCGCCGCTCGCTAACGACGACCCTCTCTCCGTCTTTATTTGTGCATGTGCACCCTCGCTCCCTCTCTCCACGAATCAAATAAAATCCAGTCAAACATCTCAAGCCCAAAAGATTTAAATGCGAACTACTCAGTCCAACCATAATACCTAACCTAAAGAGACAAACCACATGCAATCCACGACCCGCAGTACTCATCTCACACATTCACACACTCACTACTACCACATCATCACTACATACCAAGAAAAAAGTCTAAAAATAAGATGGTTATTCTAGTCACAGTCTAGGGTATAATCATATGACTAAACATCTAAGTGCTTAATCACCTGCTAATCACACTCAAACCCCAATATTCCACCCAACACATCAAGAAGCTGGAGATGTGCGGTGAGCTGAGGGAAATGGCCATCGGCTTCGATCATCTCGACCGTCGATTTCCCCTGGATTTTGTCGTGCATGTAATGGGCGACCGAGTTCGGCACGACGATGTCGTTCGTGGTCTGGATTATGGTGCACGGGGTCATCACTTTCTCGAGTAGCTCTCTATGATCGCACAGGAAAACCGTCCTAGCTAAGGGAAGCGCAACTTCGGGCCTCATCCTTCTCAAGCACTTCGTGAACATCTCGACCGAGGCGTCGCACGAGCCCACCACCAGGGGAGGGAAGTTGGTCACCCATCCGTGGTAGTCGGACTCTATGCTCGATATGATATGATCGATCTGCGCGGTCTCAAACCCGCCCTCGTAGCCGTCTGTGTTTAAGCACCTACGAAGGTAACGAAAGTAAGACATGGCAAGAAAATGCTCTAAGGGCAACATGTTGGGTTGGAAGATGCAAATGGCTTTTTGTAGTTTAACTTTTAGACTAAGTAAAAGGGGATTGGTGTCATCAGCAGCTGTCCAAAACTATAGATAGCTCCAACTCCACTGAAATTTAAAATAAGAATAAAAAAAGAATTAATACCATAAAAAACTCTAAACTGGTATATATGTAATAAATTTATCCTAAACTAATTTTTTGACCACAAAAAACTCCAAATCAGTACACATGTGATAAATTTGCCCTAAACTAATTCTTTTACCACAAAAAACCCTAAATCAGTATATTTATGACAAATTTACCATCCATTAAATTTGATCAATATCACGAAAAATTACAAATCGGTACACATGTAACAAATAAGAGGGTAAAATCCCGAATTAGTACATCCGACTACTGCTACGTGTCATCCAACTCAGAAATTTAACTGTAAAATTTAATGAAAACTAGCATAAGGTGAAATTATTACAGGTATACCGATTTGAGATTTTTTATAGTCAAAAAATTAATTTAGATTAAATTTATCACATATATATTAATTTGAAATTTTTTGTGATATTAATTTATATTATTTTATAATCCAATTTGTTTCGGATAATTACAAAGCGAAGAGGACAAAAAACTTGACTAAAATAAATAACACAAGATGAATACGACGGAAAATCGAGAATCATCGAAGGATTCTTTCGTGTCCTCACATCTCACTCGTGATGGCTGATGGGTCCCCAACATTAAGTGCACCAAACAGCAGCTTTACGAATTAATTGCTTGGGATAGGGAAAATCAAGTACGAAAGGCCATTATGGTTGATGGGATAGCTTTCCACTACCGTCTAGTCGAAGGTCAGTTCATTCACATCATTCAAGGAGCAATACAAATGTTTAGGGTGAGCTTTAGAAAAAAAAAATTAAAGTAATGACTCGTTAATCTCGCAATTAACGGCGATATTTTCTTTAATTCAGGCTACACTTTGTTCAAGTACCAAATTAGAACAAAACTTTCAAAATCCCTTTGTCTAAGTCTCTAGAAATAGCTAAGAAACACGATGACTGATTTCCCTGGAGATTTAGAAAAATAGGAGAAGAATTAGACTCCATAATCACAAGAGAAATCGGTTTTGATATACATCAAAGACTACAATCACAAATTCCACAAACCATAAATGTTCTTAAAAAATCCTATAATGAATCGACAAGTACTTAATTTTTTTTTGGTCAAAAACAACAAGTACTTAATTAACAAGCTCTTTTTTGTTCTTTGTTGTAGCGGTGAGGTGATGTTCGGGCAACAAATACACCACCATATGTTTACCTAAAAACAAAGTTCGGATTTTATTTGAAACAAATCCAAGTGATGAGAATAAGCAACAAACCGAACCCAATTGATTCGCACAAGCTCTGTATTTAACACTCCCTTATTAGCAAGAAGGGCGACAAAAATGTTTCAATATAAAACACTTGATGATGGAGATACCATAGATTTATCTAGCAATATCCCTCCTATAATCCTAACTAAGGTTATGTTTTGCTTAATTCATACTTTTTTTGTGGGTAAACCATGCTAGAGCTTTGTCATGGTGAAAAGAGAGTACTTTGGAACCATTAAGCTTCCTCCTCCACATGCTTATTATAAACAAATTTAGGAAATTAAACTTCACAACTAAGAATAAACAAGTATAGGGACAAAAGTAGTGAGTTATTTCAGAGTTTAGTCAGCTTCTTCTAGCATGCAACATGGATTGATTAATTAATAGAGAACCAAAACAATACTTGTAAGGGGAGGGGAAAGTCTTTTTTTTTATATCATAAACTTTTAGCATATATTAAAGATGTCTTTTTGATTTGTTAACATTATGAAAACAAACTGAGCAAGAAAAATTGGTAGCTCCTGTTTATCATTTAGAATTAACATTATGAAATATGTAACTTACCTGGGAGAGGCACCAAGGAGTATGAGGCGCTTGAAGAGGTCAGGCCTCTTCACAGAGGCAATGCAACCGATCATGCCGGACATGGAGTGGCCGACAAAGACCGTGGACTCGAGATCGAGCTCGTCGAGGAGAGTGATCAGATCGCAGGCGAAACCTTCGTAGGACGAGTGCCTCACCGGGTCGAACAGACCTTCCTGCTCCTTGACAGCTCCCGAGAAGCACCAGTCGAAGACGAGGACCCTGAAGTGCTGGGACAAGAGAGGGAGGATCTTGTTCCACACGGTCTGGTCTACTCCGAAACCGTGAGCGAGGACCACCGTCTCAGTGCCTGAGCCGGCGAGCTTCGCGTTCAGGGGCGTCGAGAGGCCCTTCTCCAGCATCACCATTTTTTTGTGGGAAGAAGAAGAAGAAGAAGGACAAGGAGAGGGAGAGAGAGAGAGAGAGAGAGAGGGACTAGTGATGCTGTGCGGGGGAAATGACGTGGTTAGGGCACTATTTATAGGAAAAAAGAGAAAAAAGTTTAATTGCAATAATTGAGCACGACTAGTTACTGTTCAAATCATAAAGTCTAGATTCAAGTCTGTCCCTCCATGAGAAGAGCCTTGCTTGATGTAAGTTGACGACTCTTTGTGTGTTTTATGAGGTTTATGGTCAATTTATTTCGTGAAAAATAAATTATTTGAAAAATATTTTTTTAAAAAAAATTATTTGTATCACTCACGAAAATGAATAAATAAAAAATTATTTTTATCGTCTACAAAAATATTTAGACATAAATTGTTATCGGTGGTGAAAATATTAAATATTTTTTATTGACTAATTATTTTAAGCGATACAAGCGATCGTTTTTAAGAAAATATTTTCCAAATCATTCATTTTCCGCGAAATAAATGAAGCCTTAATTGAGATTTCGTTTAAATAAAAAAAACGAGGTTCTTCAAAATTTATCATGTAATGATATTAGAAGACTGGGTCATATTTTTCTCCATCTTCTTTTTTGATTGAGGTACATTTTTTTTGCCAGAAAAACATCATTTATTGCTTCACCAACAAAGAATACATGAGAGTACACTCAAGGTGGAAACAACATTGACAAGAATAAAGGTAGATCAGATACCCAATTCAAAAGGACAAACTTTTTACCCCTAGTGAGTAGCAACACAATCAGAAATCCACTATGAATTTTAGTAGAGTCAAATTTTAACGATGAGTCGAAAACATGAACATCATCGATTACTAATTTTATAAAAGTTCTCATCTTAGTGAAGTTCATAACCCATAATCCATCAATCAAATATATAATAACAAGAAAGTAGCTTTTAAAAATATATAAAGACCGTGGGATTGAATCATAAAGTAACTTTGACAAAGCTTGAATAGCTCACTTCCATAAATATTTATTTAAAGTTCGTAATGTTACTCGATAAATGAATCTAATGAGATTTATGCTTGTGTCGTTACTCTCATCATAATTGTGACAGATACTATTGTATATGTCTACATTATAAATATGTAATGAAATGTATTGTTTGATATTGAGAAAGGGAAAGAAGGGAAAGCTACATCCTTTTGAGTAGAAACTTTCCCGGGATTTCTATCTCTACATGTCCTTTTTGAGATTTAAAGAAAGGATAATCGAGCGCTTTCTAATGGTATTCAGTCAAATCAATCTACTTTTTGCATTAAAAAAGCCAATAAAGTTGGTCTTTCTTAGCACTCCTACTTTTCATAATTAATAAAAAAAGGATAACTAGAGCCCCAATCCTCTAGAAAGTCTTAAAAATACTATGTATCTTCCATTAACTCACCTATTAAAGAAAAGTTCCAACACATATCTTTAGGAGGATATGAGATTGTAATTCAAACATATTAATAAAGGGAAAAGTGTCAAATAAGTTCTAAACTTATTATATTTGTGCCAATTTAGTTATAAACATTTTGTTTTTGTGTCAATTCAGTCATTCCGGCTAATTTTGATCGGATTTTGCGAACATGGACACCGGCAGTGCCACGTAGGCCCGTCAATGATGACGTGGATAATTTTTAATAATATGTTAATATTTTTGATTTTTTAATTATTTTTTTGATTATTTTTCCTTTTTTTTCTTTTCTTTTTTGATTTTCTTCCTCCCATGGTCGGTGACTAGCCATGGCTGGGCGGGCTGCCCTCGCCCGGGCGAGGGTCGGCCTCGCCCGGCCAAGCGACACCCGATGCGGCCCGGGCGAGCCCCGGCGAGAGGAGCCTCCATCGGGGCTCACCCTCGCCTAGGCAAGGCTCCCCTCGCCGAGACGCCCTCTCCCAAGTGAGGGTCAGCCAGAGTGATCGGTCATCGGAAAAAGGTTGAAGAAAGAAGAAAGCAAAAGAAAAGAAGGAACAAAGAAAAAAACCAAAAAAATAATTAAAAAATCAAAAAAATATTAACATATTATTAAAAATTGTCAACGTCAGTGCTGACGGCGCCACGTAGGTTGGCCGGCATCCACGTCACCAAAATCCAATCAAAATTAATTGGAAGGACTGAATTGGCACAAAGACAAATGTTTATGACTTAATTGGCATAAAAAAAGATTTATGACTAAAATGGCACTAATGCAAAAGGTTTATGACTTTATCAACACTTTTCCCTACAAACTTTTGGTGTTGTCTAGGGTTTTTTTTATTTTTTGCCTTCTAATTTTTTTTAAAAGTATGTGGTGGTATCGACAGGCACTTCAAATTCTTTCATTACTTACCAAAAAAGAATTTCTTATTTTTTATGAGAAATTAAGAAAATTATAGACATTCTTCTCCAAGTACCATTTGGTGATATTCTAAATCAGATGAATTTTTGCAGACCCACCTTTCATTTATGGTCATGTAATAAGGAGAAGCACCTTTTTTATGGTGATAATTATGTGAAGATACCCATTGGAAATGGCCCCATTCAATTGCTTAAAGGTACAATCATTGCGTTGGATTAAATTAAAGATGTAGAGCAAAGGAGAAAATCTCGCCGCCAAGCATGCATGCAAGTGACGCTAAAAGGAAGACAACCGCGATCCATTGCCAACGGTTGGGATCATTAGTGAGGTTGACTTTAAGTGGGGAAATCGAGGTCCACAAATTAGTATGCTCTATGTCATCCACACAAAGATAAATTGTGTTGAATTATTGGTGTGGTGGCTATTAATTTCTTGAACTCAATGAAAAAAAGATGAAGCATACTAGGTAATGCTCTAAGAGTGCTTGTTAAGTATATCAATCGAGATAAAAATTCAAACATCCAAAGTACTAATAAGAAAAGTCAGTGCCTTCAAAATTGAGAATTTTAGCATTCGAATCTCAATAAGTGTTGTAAATGTACTGGTAAATATAATTGTTATTATATGAGTACTTTGTCGAGGTGATGATTCCCTACACTCTTGCATTAACAAGCGTCCCGTTTATCTATATGTCTAATGATAAGGAAATGAGCCTTAAGTAAAACGCATTATTCATGATTTTCTTTAATAGGCTCTTTAATTAGTTGAGATGCGAGACAAAGCCTGAGTGGGTAGTCCAAACACGAACCGATTGCATTTCGCAATCTAATTTATTCGCAAATCCCATAAGCAACTATAATGACTAACGAAGTTCACAGCTCATCCTCGCATAAGTCTCTCACATTCCTGATAGAGGTAAACACGACCAGAAGGGCGTCAAATGCTAATTTATCATGGGAAAAACAAATTTAGGGATTCATCATCGACATCATCAAGAAACATCCCTCTGAGTAGTGAATTAGTTGCGTTTCCTACGTAAGAAGCCTCAGGCTCCACATGATAGTGATTCGTGACTAAACTAGAGGATGGTGATGGTGATGTTGAGGTTGATGTCTTGTATTCAGTTATCCAAGAGATTATGAGGCGGTTCCGAAAGGCCCCCTGACGACTGGACAGCACGGGGGTCCCACTCCCTGGTGAGAGGGCGGGGGTCCGAGGGGGTCGCCCCGGCAGGGGTCGCGGGGGCAGCGCCCCCGGGCCGCCAGAGGCGTTTTATGTTCAATCATAGAAGGATCTCTTTGCGAAAGTTAAATGTTTTAAGCTATGTGGGCAATTTTGTAATTGTGCCATGTAGGGTTTCGCTATATATTTAGGGTGAAACAGGTCTCTAGAGAGAAAATGAGGGAGTGAGAAAGAGCGGATGTACACTTTTCTACGTTATTAGTGAAATAGATCTCATCTCCCCGTGGACGTAGGTAGGCGGAACATCTCCCCTGCTGAACCACGTAAATTTTGTGTTGTGCGAATTTCCATTACTTTTCTTGCATCGTTGATAGGATCGAATTAGATATTCGACAATTGGTATCAGAGCTTGGTTCGGCGATCTATCAAGATGGCAGGAAAGGGTTCGAGTGTCAAGTACGACATCGAGAGGTTTAATGGAAAGAACAACTTCACTCTCTGGCGACGAAGAATGATGGATCTTCTGATTCAGCAGGGCCTGTCGAAAGTGCTGCTGGGGAAAGGGAAGAAACCAGAAACGAGTGATGAAGATTGGGGGGAGATGGAGGAAAAGGCGGTAAGCGCCATTCGATTGAACCTATCTGATGAGGTTCTACAGTATGTGGTGGATCTCAAGTCGGCTTCGCAGGTGCGGGCGAAACTTGAGAGCATCTATATGACCAAGTCCCTAACGAACAAACTGTTTTTGAAAAAGCAGTTATACTCTCTACAGATGGAGGAAGGCTCAGATCTATTAGAACACATCAACACGTTTAATCAGATTCTGAGTAAACTTGCAAGTCTGGAGGTTTCAATGGAAGATGAAGACAAAGCCCTATTACTGCTATCGTCGCTACCAGCATCTTATGATCATCTGGTGACGACACTCTTGTGTGGAAAAGAGACGCTTGAGACAGATGAGGTCACTGCTGCCTTATTATCTAATGATACGAGAAAGAGGGTTAACAGTGCTATGACACGGGGTGAGGGTCTCATCGGAAAAGTCAAGGAGCAGGAACGGGGAAGAACAATCCAGCGGGGATCCGGGAATAAGGGTCGATCGAAATCAAGAGGGGGTAAAATGAAACTCTCTTGTTATTATTGCAAGAAGGAAGGCCATCTGAAAAGAAATTGTTTTAAGAGAAAGGAAGACTTGAAGAAGCACGAGAAAACTTCTAATCAAGCAAGTGTGGCCGATAGCTCAGACGGTGATGATGGAGATCTTCTCTCTATATCATCAGGTAAGAATCAGTCCGTTGATTCATGGATTTTAGACTCTGGATGCTCTTATCACATGTGCCCGAATAGGGATTGGTTTGATTCATACCGGTCATACAGTGGCGGATCTGTTCTAATGGGGAATGATGCGGTTTGCAAAACCATTGGAATAGGGACTATTAAAATCAGAATGTTTGATGGTATAGTCAGAACTTTGGTGGATGTAAGACACGTTCCAGATCTAAAGAAAAATTTGATATCTTTG